GCAGTTTACTTCAATAAAATGACCAACTAGCTGGGAAACAATCACACAGGTATTAGTACATCAACAAGATATAGTAAAGACAACAGTATGCTTTGGCAAGGTAGGAACTAGGAAGCGACCTTATCGAGTAATCGTGTTGTGGTATGAGGTGGAGGGCATTTGACATCAAACTTTTCACATACATCTATCAAGTACTTATTAGCAGTTTCACTCGATAGATCACTAGGTATACTGATGTTAGCGACTTTCTCCAACTCCGACAACATATCAATCTTTCTGCAATTAACAAACAAAAGGAACTCCAAACATTTAAGTAAATGCTAGTCTGGAAGGTGAAGTTTTACACCATTAGTCACATATTCAATATACCTGAATGGAGGAGTGAAATCAATTTCTATCGGTTCATTATCCAATCCATTAGCATGGTACCTTATTTTATAGCTTCCGGTTAGTTCCTTCACCATACCTAAGAGCAATATGCAAAAATCAAATCCATTATATCAACGGATTGAAGACGAAAAGCAATCTAGATAACTATTTGAGATGCTTACCTGATAGTAGCTGCTCTGTCAGATCCATCAAGTCGTTGTAATCAGCGTAAGCCATATAAAGTTCACACATTGTGAACTCAGGAGAGTGAGTTAAATCCATTCCTTCATTCCTGAATTGCTTCCCCATCTCATAAACACGATCAAATCCACCAACAACCAACTTCTTAAGATAAAGCTCGGGGGAAACACGCATGAACAGTTTTGTGTCCAACTCGTTATGGTGAGTGATAAATGGTCTGGCTGCAGCTCCTCCAGCTGTCAAATTCATAGAAGGAGTCTCCACCTAAAACAAATAGAAAGCTGAGTGAGAAAAGAACACATTAATCAGAAGAATAAGTCAGCATTGGAAGGGCTATTTGTAGAATTAAACCTCCAGAAACTCAAGACTATTGAGGAAATTCCTGACGTAAGAAATGATTCTGGCACGAGTCCTGAATAAAGTTCGAATATCTGGATTCATCATTAGATCTAAGTACCTTTGACGATACCGAGTTTCCTGAAATTCACAATGTAACACAATTAGAATACTGTAATTAGATGCTGGACACCAGATTAACCAAGTATGGTACTCCAATACAATTGAGAAATTCTCCTTTTTCCCACTCCTAATTATATCCCTTCTTTGTCTTCGTGTAACCTATAGGTCACAGGCTCAAGCTGTGGATGCAAACACTAATGCTTGTGATAGGGTAGGTTGTGTACATCACAGCCCTTGGGATGCATCCCTTCCCTGGACCGTGCTAACATGGGATGCTTTGTGCACCGGGTTACCCTTTTTTATCCATTCTTGGTCTGTAAGTGGGATGGGGAAGGGGATTCCATTTAACATTTGAAGAGCCAAATTCTTGATATGATCATACCTGATCCCTTAACACATATGACTCGGGGTTTCTCGGATCTCCTGGAGTCCAAGTATCATTAGCTGTTGTTCCTTGGAAACTCTGTAAACAAACAACTCCTTTGAGTCATGTATTAAGAATCATTGATGTAAAGTTACTAGACAGACATAAGATAGGTTTCCTTATAGTTGTGGGTGTTTCACCTGTGTCCGAGTTTCATCTACGACAGAGGAGGTCAGCCGCCTCGGTAACATGTGTAGGCAAGGGGCTAGCACTATAAAAGATTTTGCAAAGATACTTAGCTCTCCTCTCTTACTCTTTCCTGCAGAAGAATGACACTTTAGTGCCTCAAAAATCTTAGTTTTCTTTCTATAATTGGATTTTAAAGGACTAACCAGGATATCCGCGGACACCAATGATGTCACCTCGCTTCACTCCAGAGTGATAGTTAGAAAACTGAACAGCATCCATATCAGAATCCCTACTCAACACGTACAAATGAGATGCAGTTGGATCAAAGAAGTTCCCTACACCATTTTCGTTAGTGATAACATAACTTAAATTGAAGAAATAGTAAGTATTTTATCGAATGTCTTCATTTCATCACTCGCTGAGCTCAAACAACTCAATATACCTTGCACTAGCCAGTACTTGTACTCTCGCCCCGCCACCAAGCAGTTCATAGAAATAGAGTTTTGACGATGATGCTCGCTTGCTTATCACTCTCCCTATACGAACACGAATAAAAACTATTGAAATTTCAAACTCTAATCAACTTTTAACGGAAATCATAACCTGAGCACCTGCTAAGGAGATATCAATGTCTTCAGGAAACTCTCCAGTATTTAGATGAGCATATCTGCTGATAAATTCAGGAATAGACATTGTAATGAAGAACTTATGTGGATATGGATTGATTCCAGATTCTCTCAACGACTCAACGTTCCTCAATCTGTTCGCCAAGTATTGCTGCCACAAAAAAATTCAATTTTTAACCATTTATCACACCGTGAAATCTCATGCTCATCGAGGGATAATTTCGAACTGAAGTTCAACAAAATGGTAGAGGTACTTACAGTAGGATCCAAATTATCATTCTCAGGTAAATTGTGTTGCTCCATTTGCCTTTTAGCTACTGCTGCTGCCTGTACATCCAATCGGGACAAAACTCATCAACATGAAAACATAAAAATGTACACTTTCACTTGCAACGCAAAGACGGGGTAAATCCCTGAGAGATAGTCAAGCATCACTGATAACAGAACATAAACAAAATACACAGAACAGAAGATTTACCTTCTTTTCCTGTTCCAGGTGCTCCTTCTCCTTTGCCTTCTTTTCTCTCTTAAGAGCACTTTTTCACCAAAGGAAATCAAAACATAAGAGCAACATATATTGTTTGGTAACATTTCATTTAAAATATCTAAGTCAAAAAAATCAACAAATTGTAAACTAAATGTACAAAAGGTATATATTGTCATTCCCAGAGCACATAGATTAACTTTCACAATTGCAAAAAGGAAACTGAATTAAAAGACAAAAAAAGAAGCTAAATCACCATACTTCTTGCTAAGTGGCTCTGTTGAAACAGATGAATCCATTAGTGACTATAGTTAGACTTAGCAATTTGGTGAAATTAGTAAAGGGTTGATTATGTAAGTACTTAATCCAGGATTAAACAAGTTGATAATCTTTTAGTAGAATTATTCCAATTAAATAAGGTTTAGCATGACTTAGGATTACTAAACAGTGGAGTGATGGACAAGAAATATGTCATTGTCATTCTTCTTATTATATAATATTGATAGTTTAATAGTAATACTTTTTCATCACAAAGTAATTTACTCATATCCATTCTCCTTGGTTGACAAGAAATTAATTTCCATTTTTCTTAGCATGATATACCACTTTTACAACACAATATTAATATAGTAATACCCATTAATGGCCCTACATAGGCTCTTTTACTTTTTAATTTGTTGTTGCTAAATTCAGGCACCCTTCAACTACTAAATGGGTCCAGGTGAGCACCAAGACTAAATACTTGGGGTCTTTAATTTAAGGTAACAAAGAGAACGGCGAGGATATCATACATTGTAGTGGCGTAGAATGAACGAAATGGAGGCTCACCTCCAGGGTCTTGTGTGATAAGAAGGTACCGCCAAAAATTATAAAAGATAAGTTCTATAGGAGGGTGGTTAGAACGATTTTTTTTTATGGAACAAAAACCAGAGTTATGAATTCTCAGTTCAGAAGATGAAAATCACGGAGATGAAAATCACGGAGATGAAAACGTTGTGGTGTATGTATGACCATACTAGGAGAGACTAGATTAAGAAAGTAGATATTCGACAAACGGTTGGAGTGGCCTTTGTATTGGACAAGATGATTGGGACGAGACTGTGGTAGTTTGGGCATGTGAAGAATAGGAGTGTAGATGTCCTAGAGAGGTGTGAGTAGTTGGCAGTGGCGGGCGTCACGAGAGGTAAAGGTGGGCTAAAGAAGTATTGGGAAAAAGTGATTAGGCAGGACATGACACGTCATGATCTTACCAAGGTCCAAGGACATAACCTTAGATAGGAGAGTTTGGAAGTCGTAAATTAGGGTGTAGAAGGTTAGTTGGTAGTCAAGCGTTCTCTCGTTCCATGCTGGATAGGCTTGGTGGTCATACTAGGGCCTTCCTTCTTACAAGTAGTATTAGTGCTATTCTTATATAGTTTCTTGTTCTTCGATCTCGTTCGACATGGTTTTTTGAGCTCTAATTATTGCAATAGCTCGTTTTGTTATTGTTCTTTCTCTTGTTTGTTGCATAACACTCTCTCTTTCGCATTAATTTGTTATTGTTGTTGTTCACATGTTTGTATCCCCTTCTCCAAACTGTTTGACCGACTTTATTTAAGCTGAAGGTCTACCGTAAATAACTCTTCTATATCTACGAGATAGGGGTAAGATCTACGTACACTCTACCCTTCTCAAATCTCACTTGTGGGTTTATACTAAATATGTGTTGTTGACAATATGTAGCATTAAAGAATTTCTTCTATCTCTACGAGATAGGGGTAAGATCTACGTACACTCTACCCTTCTCAAATCTCACTTGTGGGTTTATACTGAATATGTGTTGTTGACAATATGTAGCATTAAAGAATTTTAATATTATTCAACCTCTAGCCAAAATCAAGGTTCTAAGGAAAACCATATAAAATTCTTTTATTGATGAATACTCTAGGTTAGGAAAATATGAAAATAATGTTTTTTATCTTGATATAAAAAAAATAACGAGTAAAAGTGAAAATATATTTTTAAAGTACTTGATCAAGTAAAAGTGGACGGAAGAATATCTTTTATTGATATTTAACTACATTTTCAAGAGATGGATACATTGACACTGATTAACTTGTCCACCACAATGCACTTGCTCTCAAAAACAAAAAGTATATCTTTAATATGATAACATTGTGTTCATTTTTTACATTGAGATACTAGTGAATGAAAATTCTAAATAAATTCTGGGAACTGATTTTGAAAGTTTTATGTAGAATTGCTCAATCAAACTTGATCATGAAGGAGAGAACACGCGATTGCTTGCGCCACTTGGTATATTCTGTCATTATGCTCTCATGGCTGGAAAGAGGATAACTTCCTGATAAAATATATAGAGAAAAAATGTAGAGTAAGAATTGATATTTGTTTACATTTTAAAATCTTCAAGAATTAGAGTTTACTAAGCCTTGACATTTTGTGAATCTGTAAGCCACATTGTAAGTCTATCAATCCCCGTGCCTAGCCCACCAGTAGGGGGCAATCCATACTCCAATGCAGTAATGAAGGATTCATCCAAAACCATTGCCTCGTCGTCTCCTAATTGTCGGTCCTGATGTAATGAAACAACAATGTTAGTTAAGCAGGAAAATGAACCTCATATAAGTCTCTTACATTCATATGTTGTGCTACTTCATGTCCTCCAAATTGGTAATGAAACAAAGATACCTTTAATTGTTCAGCAAAGTGTTCTCTCTGTGCTGCATGATCATTTAGTTCAGTATAGGCATCACATAGCTGGAGAAAAATGAAATAGAATGAGCTGATTATAGGGTAAGGTGAAATAGTACTATAGGATCAATGTCGAAAAATACAATATTACATTACCTCTCTTCTGTTAACAAATAAGTTGAAAGGCTCACTCAAACCAGGTTCTGATCTGTGTGATTTAGCCAGTGGGCTCATGATCTCAGCATGGTTGATAATAAAAGTGGGATTTATGCAGTTTACTTTAACAAAATGACTAACTAGTTGGGAAACAATCACACAGGTATTAGTGTCAATTTTCTGCTGAATGTGGTGCATATCTACATCTACCGTCTAATTTATGGTGCATATTTATCATTCATGGTTGATAATAAAAGTGGGATTTATGCAGTTTACTTTAACAAAATGACTAACTAGTTGGGAAACAATCACACAGGTATTAGTGTCAATTTTCTGCTGAATGCCTCTCAAAGTGAGAATCTTTCCATTATATAGAGAAAATAAAGATTACACATCCTAAAGATCCGTCATTCTATCCCTAAAGATCAGCTATTCTATCTCTACAAATCTGCTATTCAATCCCTCAAAATCTACCTTGCTATCCCTCCAAATCAGCTATTCTATCACAATATTTATTCCTTTGATTCTACAACAAATGTATATGATCATGCGAAAAAATATTAATGTAATTGATATACTAAAAAACTTTTTTAAATATGAAACAAGATCATATACAATTTATCATATATTATTATAAGTGGGAAGCTCCAATATGCAAAGTTGAATTACAATACTACCCCTATGCTAATTAAAAAAAGTTATAAAACATTTAATTAATAAAACATCAAATAGTAATCATATCATATTATTATACTATTATAACATATATATATATATATATATATATACTTATTTTATAAATGGGAAGCCACAAAAATTGAAATTTAAAACACCATTTTGTCTATCAAACATTGAACGTTCATTTTGCATTTCAAGCTTTCATCAATTCTCATTCATTCGTGTGCAATATATATATATATACATTCTACAAAGAATTTAAACAATCTTAAAACAAATTTCAAAGAATTAAGAAAACGTAGTAAATGAGAAGAAAAAAAAAGTGATAGTCATTTAGATGGCAATGAATATGAAACCTGTTCATATGGGCTCTTAATAATGCTTCAAATAAAACCTTTGGCTTTCTTAAAATAAAAAATAAAAAATTAATCCTTCATAAACTATTACTGCATTAACTAAACTTACGTTAGCTAACCTCTACGTCTATAATCTGGAGAATTCAAAAGGTCAATAAGTAATTAAAATTCAAAAAAAAGAAATACGAACCAAAAAAAAGTATAAAAAGGGAGAAAGAGTTTACATCTGAATATTTTTTAGCAATTTTTCGGTAATATAATCATTTTGGTTTTCTTCTTTGTTATGCAGGAAAAAAATAGTAAGGGAAGCATGCACAGCTGTTAGAAGTTGGAATAGGTCTTTTACTATATTGTTTGATTTGAAGGTATACAATGTTTATGTGGAACTATAGATGAAATTATAAGTCTTTTACTATATTAGCAAATAGTATCTTTATTTTTACAAATTCAGATGTTCTCCTTGTACTTTTAGTTTCTTTATTTTTGTAAGTCAAACTACCGTCATTACCAAATTCAAAAACATTATATATATATTTAGCAAACAGAGTGTTTCTACTTTAATTATGCAAAGAGAATATTGATGTCTCTTTTAATTCTCTTCTTAATTAGAAGGTATATGTTATTTTTTAGAGAAGTGTCTAAAGCTTCAGTAGAAAGATTGGCAAGGTTATGTGGAATTATCAAGATCATGGCCATTTATACCTATATATATGTATATATAAATGCATGATCTATTCGAAATAACACAATTGTGTCTATCATTTTATTATTTTTTTAGAAAAATACACTTGTCTTTAGGCAAATGGTTAAGAAAAGGCCATACAGAACAATGATCTATTTGGAAGAGTTAAGAAATAAAATTAATGGTAATTTTTAAAAAGTTGTAGTCATTAACATGGAATACACGTGCAACGCACGTGTTTAGAAACTAGTTACATTAATATATACAATCATTTAGTTTTCCATCATGCTAACATCCCCCCCTCAAATTGATGCTGGTGGATCAAGAAGCATCAATTTGCCTACTAGAAACTGATGGCGTTGTCGGGCCATGGATTTTGTAAACGCATCAACTATTTGAAGATCACTGGACACATGTGGAAGAGTAATGACTCATTTATCTACAACTTCTCGGATATAATGACAATCCACTTCTATGTGTTTGGTCCTCTCATGAAAAACTGGATTAGTAGCAATATGAATAGCACTTGTATTGTCAGCCTGGAGAGGAGTAGGATGAGATTGAGGAAATCTAATCTCAGCAAGTAATCCACGAAGCTATACAGCCTCGAAGCAAGCAATAGACATGGATCGATATTCAGCCTCTGTTGAAGATTTTGACACACGCTCTTGCTTTTTACTCTTCCAAAATATCAATGAATCTCCAAGAAACATGCACCAACCAGAGACTGAACGACGAGTATCAGGACATCCCGCCCAATCAGAATCACTAAAAGCATTAAGATGAATAGGAGAACCACTTGGAAAGAACAATCCACGAGTAGATATTCCTAGAAGATATCGAATGATGCGATGAACAGCCACCAAGTGTAGATGACGGGGAGCTTGCATAAATTGACTAACTTGTTAAACTGCAAAAGAGATATCAGGCCGAGTAATAGTAAGGTAATTTAGACTCCCAACTAATTGTCGAAATATAGTTGGATCAGGAAGAAGATCTTCTTCCTCATGACGATACTTCACATTCAATTCCAATGGAGTATCTACGGAGGAGGAATCTTGAAGACCAGCCAAAGAAATCAGATCCTGAGTATATTTATGTTGGTTTAGAAACACACCTGAAGCAACATTATGAACTTCCAAACCCAAAAAATAAGTAAGAGTACCAAGATCTTTCATATGAAAAGAATCTTTAAGCAGTTGTTGTAGGCTAGTGATTAGTGAAGGAGCTTGTTTTAATCCATACAAAAACCGCTTCAACTTGCATACATCTGATGTAGGCGATGAGAACAAACCAGGTAGAGGTTTCATAAAAATATCTTCTTTAAGATCACCATGGAGAAAATCATTTTTGACATCCCTTTGATAAAGAGACCAGTTTTGTGAAGCAGCAATGTCAATAATAGTTCTCACCGTAGTCATTTTGGCTACGGGTGCAAAAGTCTCATCATAGTCCACCCCATACTCTTGTCTGTTTCCAAGAACAACCAATCGAGCTTTGTACCGATCAAGAGTTCCATCAGAATGAAGTTTGACTGAATAAACCCATTTACATCCAATTGGGCAGACATTTGAAGGACATGAAACAATGTCCCATATGTCATTTTCTTTAAGAGCCAAATACTCTTGTTTGTTACTAAGAACAACCAATCGAGCTTTGTAACGATCAAGAGTTCCATCATAATGAAGTTTAATTGAATAAACCCATTTACATCCAATAGGGCGGACATTTGAAGGACATGAAACAATGTCCCATATGTCATTTTCTTTAAGAGCCAAAAGTTCTTCCTCCATTGCTTTCTGCCAACATTCATGTTTGGAAGCTTGTGAGTAACAAGATGGAACAGATATGTTGGATAAAGTAGAGGAAAAGCCATACCAATTGGGAGTACGAGATACTCTGGTAGATCGCCGAGTAGGCTCAAGTGGACCAGATCTTGAAGAATTCTCAGATTCTAGTTGTGGTACAGTTTCAAGTGGTGGATCAGTGTCAAAATAGGATAAAGTTGGCCGACGTCATTCATACACAAATCCAAGTTTAAACCTCTTAAAAGAAGATGATAAATCCTCAAAAGTAGGAAGAAGAGGAGAAGCAGAAGATGAATCTACAATCGTAGGAAAGAAATACTGATTCTCAAAGAAAAGATCATTTCTAGAAATACGAAATTTTTGAGAACATGGATCATAGCAAATAAAACCTTTTTGTGAAGTACTATAACCCATAAAACCACATTTAGTAGACTGTATAGAAAGTTTATTACGTTGCGAAGGAGGCAAATGCACAAAACAAACACAACCAAATGTATGAAAATCACTATAGTTAGGATTTTGGTGATAAAGACGAAAATATGGAGACTCAAGATTTAGCACTTTAGATGGTAATCTATTAATTAAATAGACAACATTAGACAAAGATCCACCCAATATTTAGATGGTACAGAGGACTCAATCAATAAAGTACGAGTGACATATAAAAGATGGCAATTTTTCGTTCAGCAACTCAATTTTGTTGTGGTGTATATGGGCAAGAGTGTTGTGAGACAATTCCTTTGTCAAGCAAGAATTTTTTGAATTCATAAGACACATATTCTCCACCAGAATCAGATCTTAATAATTTGATGCATGTAGAAAATTGAGTCTCAATGTAAGCCAAAATTGTCTTGAACATGGAAAATACATAAGATTTGGATCGAAGAAAATACACCCATGTAAACCGACTATAATCATCTTATGAAATGTCACAAGGTATTTGAAATTGAGCATGAGAAATAATTGGTGAAATGCCCCAAAGATCACTATGAATGACATCAAAACACTTTGTAGCATGACTACCAAAATTAGGAAAAGGAAGAGTTTTACTTTTGCCTAATTTACAAGTAGAACAATCAATGGAAGCAGCTGAAAAATGATTTTTATTTCCCAATAAACCAGAATTTGATAAATGAGACAACACAATAGAATTTGGGAAAAGTAGATGCTTATGCCAAACCTTAATCTTACTAGAAGTAGAAGTACAAGCAAAAGATAGAACAGGAGGAATGGAAAAGTGTATAGGAAATAATCATCCAACTTTAGTCCCCTTCGCGATTATCGTCCTCGACACCTGATCTTGCACAAGACAACCATTACGAGAAAAATTCACATCACAATTGTTATCTACCAATTGTCCAACTGAAATAAGACTAGTTGAGAGCTTTGGTGAAACAAAAACATTCTTGAAAGTTGGAGTAATGTCCCCTACCTTGGTAATGGGTAAATTACTACCATTGGCAATCTGTATTTGTGATGGACCTTGATACTTACGAACATTTTTTGGGATGCTCGTTGAGTTGATCATATGATTGGAAGTATCTAAATAAACAATCCAAAAATTAGATGTAACATCATTACCTTGTAATCCCAATGCTGAAAAGGTTGACACGATCATTGGTTGTACCATTTCAGAAGTAAGAACTTACCCTGAAGATGAGTTATCATTAGTGG